CCCGTACATGCCGAACGCAAACAAATAACTAAGTGTCCCTGAGACCTCGCTCCTCCTGGGAAGAAAAGTCTAGATCTTGTCGTTGGGGGAGCAGACATTGGGAAGTCAGGGCTGCCTTTGCTACGTGGAAGCAGAGGGGGAGGGGGGATACTTAATGGCCCAGGACTTGTGACCACTCTGCAAGTGGCTCAGAACTGTTCCTGCAAGAGTTATATGAGAGGCTGGTAAATGGATATAAAGCTATTTGCCTTAGGGTTGCCTGTTCCACTTCAGTTTAAGTCACTAGTGACCAGAGGGAGGCATTATCAGCTGATGACTGGTGATGATTCTTGGGCAACCTCTTGCTAGGGAGGCTCACAAGAAGTCGCAGCGGGAACCGGGCAGAGGCCAAGGACAGAACGGTCTCCCAGGTGGTGAAGGGAGATGTGAGTCCAAGTGATCCTGCTCTCATTGCAGTCACTAGGGAGTTCTGTCGTGAGCTTCAATTGGAGCTGGGTGGGGTCAGAGGTCTCTTCCATTTGCAACTTGCCCCAGCAAGAGGACAAAGTATCCTGTCGCCCGTCCAAACCACTCATGTAGGGGAGCCTGCGCTGCACTCACAGCATGGCTAGAACAGGCCAGCACCACGGCTGTCACGGCAGTGCTAAATCACTTTAAACAATTAAGCTCGCTGGTTTCCCTGCTCGTTAAGATAGATGGTGTGACACAATATTTTAAGCGCACTGAAACGGCTTTGAGTACGTGGCGCCACACTACCTGGATTTTAATCAGCCGGAAAATTAGACATGTTCATAACACTCTAAATGCATCATGTACAACGTGATGGTTTCCATATGGCTGTGCCAAGGCAAATCAAGTGAACAAATAGTAAGGCCTGATTCTGTTACCCTGGTCCTGTACTTGCAGGAGTGGTGGGGGCTACAGGGACTGTAAGGCCACTTTCATGCTTCCTGCCCACCTCCGTTGTAACCTGGAACAGCCCTGAGCCTGCTCCATCTAATACGCTGCTTTCCATGAACGCATGTGGACCCTGGGAAACAGAAGAGCCACAGTACAGGGCATTCCAGGTACCTGATACTCCACCACGCTCCTATGCTGGGAGCTGAGCCAGCGTCAAGTTTACATCAGCTCTACACTGTCTGAAGCAGTGGTCCCCAACCTTTTTTGTCTGGCGGGTGCCAGACAACGAGTCACGGAGGACCGTGGCGGCGGACGAGCATCCGTCGAAATGCCGCCGACAAATGGCAACGTCAATAGGCATCGCCACCGAAATGCCGCCGACAAGTAGCGTCATCCAGATGACGCTGCTTGTTGGATGACGCTGCTTGTCGGCGGCATTTCGGTGGATGCTCGTCCACCGGCCAGTACGCGGGCGCATTTAGATGCCCCGGTGGGCGCCATGGCGCCCGCGGGCACTGCATTGGGGACCCCTGGTCTGGAAAGCCCCAGCACACCACCCATTTCACTTACTTTAAGATCCCTCTGCTTCACCAGAGCCACACAAAGGGGCCTCGACTCCCCTGAGCATCTGGGCTCACTGGGCAGAATTGCTCCCTTCAACAGAGGTAAGGATTCTTCGAATCCTTGTTTTCTCAGCTCAAAACAAAGCAGCACTCTGGGGGGTGAGGCCAATGCTCTGTCTCTGAAGCTGAAGAGAGACATCGACTCCCCCTGGCGAGAGGGGATCTGCAGGCCAGGCTAGTTCATGTTCTTGCACAGCACTAATTAAATAAAACCACCACAGGCCCATGGAATATTCCCCATGCACCAAATGATGCAATTCAACTCAGGGCTAATTGTTTTGTTCGGCCTTGAAGGACCACTTTAATTTCCTCCTCATCAGCTATCAGGAGCAGAGAGCACTCTGGGAGGTTCCACCCAGCCTTCCCGTTAACATCCTAATGGGAGCTAGGCTAATACAGCAAGACTCTTCCAACGTTTAGACGAGAACCAAGGGCCTCTGCGGCGCCGCTGTTTGCCTCTCACCGCCGTTCGCACCGACAACTTTCATTCAGGAGGCGTTGTCTTTGCAGCACCCGTGGCGCAGCGTTACTCATGCTTGTACACATCTGCACCAGTGCAAGCACCCCTGCCGCCATCTTGAAAGTTCTTGTCTAGGAGGAGTCCGCCAATCAGGGTGGGAAAACAATGCATGTGACTTAAAGCGACCCATTACCGCGCAACCCCAGCGACCCTATGTTTGCATAAGTCATTTGTCAAAGAACATTGAACAAACAAATACATGGGAAGCGAAGTATTGACATGTCATTTGTGCACATAAGAAGGAATGAAATTTGCCGGATAAGCTGTTTGCTACTCAACTACTGTGCACCGTTTTAATTGCAACAAAGCTGCCACCCCTAGGGCTCCACCATCACACAGAAGTGATGTTCCCAGTGAGGAACTAATGCTTCAGCAGTCCGTGTGGCATCACACTGGGGCAGAGGAGTAGGGCACTGGGGCCCCACCCGCTCCAGTCCCCATGGTGGGGGGCAGGCCCTGCTGCCCCAGAGCCAGCGGGCCAGGCCCAGGACTGGGAGCGCTGCCAGTGGTGTCATGCCATGGTGAGGATGCTGGCACTGCCCAAGGGGCCCAAGCTGCTGGACAGGAAGTGGCATGGCGAGCGGGTACTGGACAGCCCCAATTCCACCCAGCCGTCTAGCCACTGGCCCCGAGCACGCTGCGCCCCCCGGGCTGCCTGAACCAGACGCCACGGGCCAAGCGCCACCAGTGAGTAGAGCCCGACGCGGTTGTATCTGCATCCGATCCACTATCCAAGGATATGACGTGGATATCCGCAGATTTGCAGAGCTCTATCTATATGCAGGCATGAGACAAGCAAGCTGGCGTGGCCGTTTAGTCGGGTGGGAAGAGAACCTGCACGGTGGAGTCCTAGATCGCACCACAGGGGCCACCATTTTCCATTTGAATGTAGAAATGTGTCCAACCCATCTACACGGAAGCTTCCTGCACAAGCATCTTATGTGATCTCAATACAAAGGCCAAAGATTCCCACAGCTCTGGATCAAAGCCCCGGCGGGAGAGGAGGGCGTGTACCCCTCCCAGTCCGCTCCTGGGGTGGGCACACTCCCCCTGCTGCTCGTTTATATTCCCAGCATTCCAGGCAATGGTGTGTCTGCTGCTGCCAATTAGTCTTGCCCACATTTCCCCTAAGGGATTGCCACTGTCTTATTAAGCCTAATTGGAAGATGGCTGGAAGCAGCAACTGCAGGGCTTCTGGCTGCCTTTGGGCAGGATTTTAACCCCTTGCTTGTTGCCAGGATTCTTTTATCTCCAGAGAGATAAACAGGACAGATCCGGGAGTCTATTTGGAAGGCCAGAGCCAGCTTTCTCACAGGAAGGATACTCCAGAGCCCACCCCATCAGAACTTACTTACAAATAGCATCCCCGAAAATTCAGCCACACACAGCCCAACCCTGTGCATCTCCGACCTCAACCCCTATAGACTGCTGTGGCAGGTGCTCGGCACTCACTCCTTGGCAGGATCGGGCCATAATAGGAGACTGTCCCCTCCCCTGAGGGTGCAGCTCTAAACTTGCCTGCTCCACGAGTGTTTCCCTTACATCTCATCTGGTGGGAGCGGACACAACTCCCTTTCAGCCGGTTTAATGGGTAATAGGAACAGAGACATTTTCAAGAAGCCTCTTCTAGCCTGGGGAATGTGAACCCAACCACATGCAGTTAGCACATGAAAGCCAGGAGGGGACATAGACACGTCCAGTCTCTGGGCAAGAGGAGCAACCGCAAAATGACAGAGAGTAAGTTAGAGGGTGTAAAGTGACTGCTCTAGTCACACCCCTGTGCAGTCAGTCACCCATCAGGGCATGGGAGGTAAGGCTCCTTCTTGAACTGGGAGCTGCATGCTTGGTCTCTTTAGGCCAGGGAATGGGACTTAGTGAAGTTGGGCGCAGCTGCACGATGGGGCAGAATCCCAGTTGGAAGAACTCCCGCCACAACTGGGAATAGAAGGGGAAGTTGGGGTTGGTTTGTGTGTGTGTGTTGTTGGGTTTTTGTTTGTTTGTTATTGAAGCGTCTTGCAGGGTATGGATACCAGAGAGCCCTCCAGCAGACCGGTGCTTCTGCACCAGCCATAGAACTGCCTGGATTTCTTTTCCTTTCTGTAACGGCTACCAACTGGGGGATCACTGGGCTGGGAACAGGGACAGTGGGGCAGGACACACCCACTCTGCCGACAACTCAAACCCTCTCAGGGGAGGTCACTAGGTGTAGCCAAAAACCCTCCACCCCAACAGCCTCACCTGGGCAGAGCCCAGACTTCTCGGACGTTGCTTTCCTGGTCCTTTTTCCACCCAGGAGTTTCAAGGCGGCCGGACTGAGCTGCCTCACACGTTGGAAAGAGAAGTCACCAGGGAGGCAACGTACATCGACTGGTCCCCTGCTTCTTTCTCACGCACCACCCCAAGAAGTCAGCCCTAGCAAAGGCCCTTTAAGAATGGGTCCCTGGTCTAATGCTTCCTCTGCTGTCCTCATGCCCCACACAAATGCACCTCCCCAGGAGTCCTCCCCTGCCCGACTCGGAGCAGCTGGTGGTGGTGCCCAGAGGCAGCCTAAGAGAGAGGTGCTGCTCAAGCCACCCACTTCCATCACCTTCCCCGGAGGAGGGACCACTCAGCCCCGGCAATGCCGGACCCAAGGTGGCTGGTGACCACTAACCCCCTGCCTTGCCAGGGGGCCCAGCCATGCTGGGAGTTCGGACTTTCCATTGTCATGGGCCCTTCCAGGCAGGACTCTTGGATGCTTTGCCAGCACCCCCCATTTTACAGGAAAGGGGAAATCGAGGCACGGCCGTGAAGGGGCTCCCCCAAGGAGTGGGGGGGGGAGAAGGGGGCAGAGCAAGGAATAGAGCCCAGGGGTCTTGCCCCCCGCCCCCCGCCCTACTCCAACCACTGACCGGGCCCCCAGGAGCAGGTGGGGCCGGGCTGGTCTCCCCCTTGGCCGGGCAGCGCTCGCCACTCACCTGGCTCCCAGAGGCTGCTCGGACCCGCTCCCCGCGGCTGGACCCCGGACGGGAGGGCGCTGCTGGGCTCCGCTCGCTAGCGGGACGGCTGGCCCGGCACCCGCTGCTGGACCCGGCGGCCGGGGCGGGAGCCCATCTGCTGGGCTCCAGGTCCTGCGGGCGGCGGCGGAGAAGCGAGGCGCCTCGGCCGGGCCGGAGGGAGAGCGGAGACCCCCTGCCACGCCCCGCGCTTTGTTCAGCCGGCTTCTCTTCCACCGCCCCGGGGCGAGTTTAAAGCCCTCTGTAAAAAGGGCTGTGCCCGCAAGGGCCGCGTGTCACCCCCAGGCTTCCCGCAGCCCCAGCCTCCCTCCAGCACGTGGCCGCCTGCAGCCAAATTCCCAAGGGGAAGAAAACTCCCAGCCAGGCGCAGCAGGTCCCCTTCCCCCCGCTTCCTAGAGAGCCGCGCTCGGCACAGCCCGCTGGCACGGTGACTAGGGGGTAATGAACCCCCACGGCTGGCCCAGCCCCGCGGATTCCTCCAGCCGAGAAGGCAGGGGCGCCGAGAGCCATTGAACCGAACTGCAAACCCCGTATGTCATGGAAACCACTTCAAGTAAGAGGGCGCGGGGGGTGCGCACGCCCTGCACCTCTAGTTCCAGCACCTATGCTTGAAGGAGGGGATTAACCCTTTCCCTGCCTGCCACGGGGTGGGGTCTGTACCCCCAGC